AACCAAAAAAGAAAGAAAAATCAAAAAGAAAATAATCTAAAGAAAAAGAAAATAATCTAAAGAAAAAAAAAATAAAGAAAGAAAGTAATTTAAAGAAAAAAAAATACCTAAAGAGTAACATTGGCTGCCATATTTTTTAAGAATTCATCCAGCTGAGATGCGTCGAATCCGTTGACCAGTCGACTAATACGTTCGTCCAATTTTCGATAGCAGGCCTTTTTCGTCTTAATAATGTGACCTTGAAGAATCTTCGCCATGTCCACTTCAAATTTTGATTGTTCACGACGAATTTTCTCCGCCAATTTCACAATATTTGGCTGATTTAATGCAACACGGTTAGCAAATGCATTGTGCCAACCTTCCACCGAATTATTGGATCGAGGTATCGTAGCGACGACACGATCACAAACGTTCCATAATTTATGATCAAATTCAGGATTCTTTCGACCAGCTCCTTAAAAAGTTCAGTATATTAAAAATTTTTCAAGAATTGAGAAAAAAATTACCTCTTCTTCTTTTTTCACCAATCCATGTTTTTTCAAAATAATCAAGTAAATCGTCGGCGTCATCGTCGAATTGATCACAAATTAAGGCAAAGCCAGTGATAACTTGATCTAGTGGAACAAAAGCAAGAGCAATTAATGTTTTTACATTTAAGCGAAAATACTCATCCTCATTATATTTGGTTGTTAATCCTTTGCTTTGAACTTGTCGCCATACCGCTTGTGAAAAATGAAAGAGACAACCTATAAAAAAATGTTTCAATTACTTTTTTTTATGAATAGATTAGAAAGTACCTTTGTGTAACACATTTGGCAACATATCTTTCACTGATTTGATTGTGCCAGTTTCGAAATCAGTCATAATTGATTCAGGTTGGAAGTTGTCTTGTACTAAAACTTTTTCGAAAAATAAATTATAATCTTCTGAATTTTTACCAATTAATAACCCATAGACGAGAGGAATAATTGCATTGGTCATCATCGCGTGTAATGTGAAGAGTTGATAATAATCATCAGGACACACCTACATAAAAGAAAATTAGAAAAAAAAAAGAGACACTTTTAATTGATAGCCTACTTTGAATGTTCCATCAGCGAACCAATGTTTGTTTTGCTTAAGAATGGATAAATTAGTTTTTGTTGTGAATATAATTAAATTTTTGTCTTCGTGCAAGATGAAATCTTCATCACGATATGTCTTTCTTAATCTTTCTGGTAAACGACCATTAACATCGACTGTTTCAACAGTACGTTGTCGTCTAATCATTAGCATAAGTGCTTCAT